AGAAGGTCGCCAACCCGAAGAAAGCAGACACAGGGTCCCTGACCCCTGTCGGGCACGCCCGGGCGCGGCAGGAGGGACCCCTGCGCAGCGCGAGTTGCCACTCGAGGTCCCCGCCCGGAGGAGCCGGCTGGGCGGCTGCGTGAACAGGTGACTTCATTCACTGCTTCCCGAATCGTCGAGGTCCCGGGACTCGTTTTCCGCCTGGAGATTAAGATCATTGCTCGTGTAATGAACTTAATGCTTTAGGGTAGAGGTGAGTGTGTCTGCGAGTGGGCAGGGGTAGGAATTACCGACCCGATCGATGGGAGACTGGCTTAAAACTAAATCCCTTTTCTCCAGGGCTTCACCGCCTGGCTTTCCCCGCGCTGGACTGAGAGCGCCTGGCTGGCAGGGGGCGGCGCGCGGAGGGGCGACCCCAGGGCGCGGCCCGCGACAACCGAGACCCTAAATGTCCTTCATCTCCCTGCCAAGACCCCCGGGGTACCCGTTTTTAGGGCAAAAGCTCTTGAAAATTCAAATGTTGGCGAACTGATTTCTCAATATGTTGTTTGTTTTTCCTTTCAGCTCCGCCTTGGGAGAGAATGTTACAGACGCGTTGGCGGGCAGATTGGGCCAAAAAGTGACACCTCCCCCCCCCCACCCCCGCCATCAGTCGTCTCCCTTAAGGGGCGATCCCTCGCTCTCTCTCCCTCACTGCTCTTTTCCCTGGCTCTGGGATTCCCAACGCCGTGTAGACTGCACCTGGCCACCCTGAGTGCTGCATATCGCCTAACAGTCAAGGAGGTGCGGAATGGCGCGGAAGAGGGGGATGAAACGAGGAGAAATGCCTGGCCAGGCGGGCCACACCACGATCCAATTCCACGCCGCTCCACCCGGCGTCCAATTGCCCACCCGGGAGCTTGAATCAAGTCATGTTTTTACTGCGTTCACATGGGCCAAGGGCCTGCTGAAATCCTAAAAGGCAAGGGAAAGTTTGCAAAGGCTTCAAAGCGTTCCCGAGGAGCTCCTGCCTAAGGCGTCGGGGTGCTGCCCACGGCCCCCCTACTACGACCCCCGACCCTGGCACTCGCCACCTGCCCGGCAGGAGCTGCCCGGGTTCCAAGTGCCCTCCGAGCCCCCAAGCTCTCGGAGTCGCGCTGCCAGCGCCGCGGTGGGACTCGGAAATCGAGTCCATCAAGAAACCGCTAGCGCACCACAAAGCACACCCGAGCTGTTCTAAGGGAAGGGGGCCCCCGAGTGCCCCAGGACGTGCCTTTCCATAACCTTGTGCGCAAACCCGGGGTCGCCTCGCCTCCAGAGACAAAGTCAGTAGTCCCCTTACACTTGACTTTCCTCTTGCGGTGGGGAGGAGATAGGAAGCTACTGCACATGCCAAAGTCGCCCCCCCAAGGTGCCTTGGGCTCTAAGCATAGACCTGTCCTCTCAGGCACAGGGTCCAGGCCAGGACGCTGTGCAGGGTAGGACACCGGGGCAGCGGCATCCTCGTCTGGACTCCTCGAAGCCGCCGCGGCAGCCCACGGGCGGCAGCCCGCGGGAGCTGCTCTCCCGCACGGAGCTCGGCCCCGTCGCCGGCCGCCGGCATCTCGCCTCCATCCCTGGCCGGCAGACTCGGGGAGGAGAGGCGCTGCACACAGCAACCAACCCCGAGCGCAAAATGTGCGTGCCGCGTGGGAGACGCGAGCGGGAGGGGGCGGGTAGGGCTTGCGTTTTTCCTTTTCAGAAGCTTTCGACTTGACTACGAAGTTTCCTGGTAGGCGCCTCTGCCCGGGGGTCGGAGCCTCCCACCGCCGCTCCTTCCCCTCCCTCCACCCCGCCCCCCGCCGGCCGAGCAAGCCGGAGCCTCTGCCCGGGCCTGGCCGCGCGCTAGGTCCCCCAGGCCCGGACCCCGCACCCGAGCGCGCGCCTCCCTCTCCGCGGCCCTCCCCGGGCTCCGTGGGGGTGCCAGTCCCCGGGGCGAAACTCGCCTGCCGGGCGCACAGTGAGAAGACACCCGCTGCCTCCCGAGGAACTCCTAATACCATCCATACAGCTTTAATGCGTTTATAATTCGATAAGTGATTTCAATTTGAAATTGTTAGTAACTAATTTTATGGGTAATTTTTCCACATCAAATATTTAAGCATCAGATTAAGGGAGCCAGTTCCGACACAGGATAATAAGGGGGTTCCCCCCACCCCCCGCGCCTCCGCCTCCCTCCGTTTCCTACCGAGTCGTTTTTCCAAATCCCCAAAAGATGGCAGTCGAAGCCGACATTCTTCTTTTCCTGCGGCTCTGCGGAGGGAGGGAGAGGGAGGAAGGAAGGAGGGTGGGCGGAAAGGGGGGGGGGCGGAGAGAGAAGAAGAGAGAAAAGAAAAGGAGAGGGAGAAACTAGTCGTTGCAAGGACTTTTCAAACTAATTCTTTCACACGTTTCTAATACAAGCAAAAGACAGTGGTGAATTTCCTGGAAATGTCCTGGCAGAAGAGAAAGCCAAAAAAACGTGCCTAGTGGCCTCGGAGTAGGGGATGTAAGAAACTCAGCACTTTCGAACCAAACCCCCAACTCAGAGCAGAAACGAGAAAGGGGAGGCCGGGAGAGAGACAAACGGGCTTCTTTGTATTTTAACATTATATAGAAAGACTATACAACTAAACAACTTGTTTTCTGAAGGGCAGGACTCAGCAAATTACTTATTGGGGAGAGAAAAGATGGACTGGGGAAAGGTGATGGGTGGGGGGCGGACTGCTGTGGGCGGAGGGGAAGCTGGGGCCAGCCGCGCATGAATTGCAGACCAGTTGCCAAAACTTTTTTTTTTTTTTTTTTTCCTGCTGCTGCTGCTGCTGCGGCTGCCTTTGCTGCTGCCTTTGCTTTGAATGTGGGTAACTAGGAAACAGCAAGCCGTCTGAGAAGACGGAATTTCCAACGTGTAAAATGTTCTTAACGGAACCATTGAGCGAGTGCAATAAGGCGTGAGGGGGAACTAATCTTCCCATTTAAATGTTTGTGGCAATTTTATCTAAATGAATTTTAATGCTAAACGAGGGTAATTCCCCATTTGTAGCGCGTTTACTTCTCTTTCCTGTGCTTCTAAAGCAGTCGAACATCATGCAATGAACAATAACAATAAAAATACTGTCAAGGCATATTATTCATTTCGAGTGTGTTATAATTACAGCTGATTAAATATGATAGGGTAAAATATTTTTAATTTTTTAAAAAAATATTTAAATCATGCTAAAAAAGTCTCATTCAACCAGCACCCCCCCATAAAAATAAAAAGCAGGTACAATTGTGTGCCCTTGTTTAGAAGAGGGCGTTTGGTTTTGCCTTTTAAGAAACATCAAAAACACCCTCAGCACCTCTATTATTTGTTTCTTTCAGATAAGTGTCCTCAATAACCTCCAAGCTGGCTCTGAAATTTACAAGAGGAAAAGCTAAAATCGCATTAAGGGGGAGTGGGGGTGTCCAGGCAAGGAGAGAAAGGATCTGAGGAGAGCAAGGCCCTCACAAAACCGCCACACAGAGCAGGGAACACAGCGAAAGAAAACAGTTTGTTTTATTTTTTTCTAACTCATTGGACACTAATGATCTTGAATCTTCATAGTCTCCATATTTCCTGATTCTTCTTCACTTGTACCCTACTCCTCCTCCCGGTGCCTCTCCACCCCCCCAACCCCGCCATCTCTCTCTCTCTCTCTCTCTCTCTCTGTCTCCTCCCCTTTCTTTCCCTCCCCCCACCGGCAAGAGCATCATCAAGAATAAAGGCTGAAAATAACCTACTCACCCAGGCATGTACTGGGGAGGAGGGGCGAATGGATGGGTAGTTTATAAAGTTTATTATTAATTTTTAAAGTAAATAAATGGTTGCTAACTGCTAGTAACCAGCTACCAAAAGGGAATGATTTCGCTAACACGGACTATTTATGTTGCCAAAGAATTGCCACTGGGCCCAAATCTGAAATTTAAACAATCCCATATATGGGGTGGGGGCGGGGTGGGGCGGAGGGCGCTGCGGCGCGGAGGCGGCTGAGGATCGGGGCTTCACTCCGTCTGCGCATCCACGTGTTTAGAAACAAGGCCCAATAAACAAAAGGTGAGAACGCGCGCTGCGCTCCGGCAGGTGAGTCAGTCAATCACACGTCACCTAGTAAACCCAGCCCACAGCTGGTTTCTCTTTTCAAATAGAAAATAGAATTGTTCAGGGCGGGTTTATAGGGTGACATGGGCCTGAAAGTCAGACTGGAGTTTAAGGCGCTCTCCTCTGACCCATCCTTTGTTTACAAAGCGATCACTCCTAAAAGGATGATATTTTTCTTAAACGAGAATTTGCCTTAATTAAAATATTTGTATATTTCCCTTAGCTTTGGGAAGCACTTTTTATAGCAGCAATTTTATTTAAATAAAATTATAAGCTATTTCAGCTTAAACATGTTATTTTGTACCATTTAGCTGGCTGCCATGCAGAAATTCTGTACAGCTGTTCTGGAAAATTGGTTAATAACCAGTTTTATCCAATGAGAACATAGAGTATATTTATAAAAATTAGATTTTGAAGTCTGGTCTCTTCAATTCACATAGTTAATTTCCTAATAAACATCTCCTGCTCATCCTAGGTAACATTCTCAGTAGAAGACTTACCTCTGTATTTAGGTTTGCCATTATGTGCAAGAATAATTTCACTGATACTAGGTGAGTAATTCTGTTGGATGCAGTCTGACACTACAGATAGTTTAGTGCCCTCGGGCCTTAAATTTGCTGATATTAGGAGTTCATTAAGTCAGCTTAAAGAAATCAGAGACTATTATCAAATAATTTACTTTGTGGTTAAATTTTTCAATAAAAATATGTCTGAGGGAGCTAAAATTAATTTTCCTGTTTACTGCATTAATCCTTAAAATTTGGGGGGGGTTGTAAACAAATTTTTCAAGCAGTGGAGTCAGCATGACAAAAATAATCTTGTTTTTATTTTAGATTCAGATTTCATTACTGCACTCAAACGTTACTACAACTGGGCTTGGCGTTATTATACAATCCAAACTGTTTCCGTCAGAAACGCTAAGACTCAGTGTGCAATGATTGTTATTAATAATTAGCTCCTTGGTTTCTTGATAGAAAAAGGCTATCAACAAGCATTTGTTTATCCACAACAAAAAGTATAATTAGCTTATCCCACTTAGTAAATCTTGTATGCATGCCAACTCATACCAAACTGCTACTTTTACAAAAAAAATTGCAATAATACAGTTCATTTTTCCAGTCCTTTTTGCACAAAATTTATTTACAATGTCTACATA